GTTTCTTGGCTAAGAGCGGTTAGTGCTGCTTGGAGGCCTACCTTGGTTATATTTTGTCCCGGTAAAAGTGGTGAACTGCATTCGAACTGCGGCCATCTATATTTTCGCCTGCATCAGGAACTATAATATTACGGAATTCAACAGAACTAGAGTGACTAAACCGCCATGATTTCAAGGTTACCACAGCTCAAGTTCGTATGAACACATTTGCGTACTCATGAATCAATTTCTTCTAAACCCATAGTCATTAATGTGTTGCATTTTTAGTCCATGACTATTTTTTACTATGTTTTCGAATGTCAAGAGAATAACTAGAACTCATGTATCCTGACGAAATATACTGAGTAATGGTTCCCCACTACAAAGGGCCTTTCAAGAAATGTTCTAGTTTTTTTTAACTTGACGTATTTTGAGATGCCTACCATTTTTATTTGAGGAGTGCAAGCTGTGCTAATCCATTCCGAAAGCCTGAAATCAAAGCTCCTGCTAGTCAGCCGTGCTCAGCTCCAAGTCCTGTGGTAAGTTTGTTCACTCGAAATCATTTTTTCACCTCTGTCATGCCACGCTCCTTTTGCTGATGCGAGAAATCGCATGTTATCATTATATGCTTCTGCTTAAGGGAGAAAAGGAAGATTATATGCTTCTATATGCAAGAAATGGACATACTACCATATTCTTGTAGTTAGATAACGTGCAAAGCACAGCATTGTTCTCGCGCAGTTCTCAACTTCTTGTTCATTGTTTTCGATCTTGAACTCTGGTGGTCCAATGCTCACTAGGATATACGGTACTGCGATATGTCAATGAATCTACTGTTGCAAGTAAGGACGTCCGAACCTCTTAGGCTATAACATTGCGGTTGCGAAACTATATCGCCCCCCCCCCACTTGTCTATATGCTCGGCAAATCGTTTCAAACCCCCCATGAGGCCCTGAAGAAAAGACTCCCTCTCTCGCCCTTCAAGTGATGGAGGGACACTCCGAATGTAGCCTGAACTTGCTTGCTCCGGGGCTCCGCCAATCCGGGCGTATTTAAAGCTGCTGTGCCGTAATCCACGTTGCGTGGCAT